AAAAAAAAAAAGAATAAAAAAAAGAATAAGAAAAATGTAGCATAAGAGAAGAGACAGAAACAAAGGATGAGATCGGGAGGACTAGCTGAGCTGATGGCTACAGCCAGCACCAAAGCACAAGGATCAGCTTTATTTTATAGTATCTGTACAGGGTTGTCCAGGGGGGAGTAGCATAGACAAAATGGGGAAATAGCATAAATAAAAGACATAGTTTTGGCCTTACAGTACAATAGGAAAATGTAAATAACTTTAACAAAGACAAACCATCTTGTTAATGGTTTCTACTCCTTAGATCACAAAGATCCCAGCATAGTCAACAAAACAAAAGAAGAACTATGTGACTTAGCGGTTACTACTTAATTTTGTTAGCATATGACAAGGGGAAAGAACGGTGAGATCTCAAGGATTTCTGCATAGTTAACTAGACAGAGAGAGGGCTACATGACTTCTGGCAGAGGGAGCATGAAGAAAGGAATATGGCTGTTTGGGGAATGGAGGAAAAGCAGTTGGGGTTCATTGTTTGAATGTTCCCCAGGCTGTGAGGGCCCTGCCAGTCTCATAGCCCACTCTCCACACTGGTACTACAGGTGTAAGCCACCATTCCTGGCAGAAGTTATTCCTGACTGTTATCTTCCTATCATGGTTAGATACCTAGATTAGCAAATCCTAGTGGCTTTACTCTTTTTTTTTTTTTGCCCAGGGTCGGGTTTGAACCCACCACCTCCGGTATATGGGGCCAGCACCCTACTCCTTGAGCCACAGGTGCTGCCCCTTTAGTGGCTCCACTCTTAAAATATTCAGAATCTCACCACTTGTCACTGATGCCACTCTGACTACCCTCACCTGAGCATCCATCATCCCTTGCCAGAATTATTGCAGTAGCCATGTAACTGGTGTTCATTTCCTTTTTCTACACAGTGACCAGAAAAATCCTTATAAAACGTGAATTGGATATCTGTCCTTTTTCTGCTCAAATAGTCCCATCTCATTCAGAGTTAAAGTCAAAAGACTATGACCTACCTTGCCCTGGGTTATCTGACCTCTCTTGGCTTCTTGATTCAACTTCTAGTTCTTGCCTTGTTCATTCAGCCTTAGCCACACTAGCACCTTTGGTATTTCTTAACTCTGCCTCAGTGCACAGTTAACTTTGCCTCAGGGCCTGGAACTGTAGAGGTGGAAAATATTGCTTCCTTCTACTTCTCTAGGTTCTTTCCTTGGTCTACAAATTAAATTGACATAAGAGAGATTAACAGGAGAAAAAGTATTTTAATTACTTATGCATGCATGTGAGTCTCACAAAAACATGAGACTCTAGGGGCCAGGTGATTGAGGTTTATATATCATCCTTAGCTACAGATAGAAATAGGAGTTTGGGGCTTCTGGAGTGTGATGGAGACATTCTAGTTCTTTCTTTCTTTCTTTCTTTTTTTTTCATAGACAGAGTGTCACTTTATTGCCCTCAGTAGAGTGCTGTGGCATCACAG